TATCCCCAGTAGGAGGTGTGCAGGAGGCAGCTGATCAATGTTTCTCTCTCATCGATGTTTCTAACTCTCTATCTCTCTCCCTTCCTTTCTGTAAAAAATCAATAATATGTATATAAAAGTTGAATCTAACTATGTTAAAAGGAAGGAGACCACTAAGAGAATGTAAAATGAGAAGAAAAAAATTGTAACACAAATCCTTGGAGAATTCCTTTTGAAATTGGAGAGGAAAAGTACCAACATGGTGTGATTTTACTTGGCAGAAATGTAGAGAAGGAACTGAAAGAGAGGGAAACTAGTAGTGGTATGGAGAGGTTATTTCAAGAAGCAAGTATTTGACTAATAAATTCAGAGAAGGTAAGAAAGCTTGATCTGATAAAAAGGTTATTGGATACCATGGCTAGATCACAATTTAAATGATAGGGAACTTTAAATAGTAAAATCAGGGTCCAAGTTTATAAGAGTAGTGTCAGAAGTTTAAGGATGAAAGGAGTGAGATTTTCTGTGGTCTCTATATTTTGAAGCCATGACTGCATAGTGATGAATCTTCACCACACTTTACACAAGTTGCGAAGGAGATGACTCCATTCATGCTTAGGAAGCAGTCCACGCTGTTTCACTGAAGTGAATGGTGATTTATAAGTATAAAGAATGTAAAACAAAAATAAATAGTGTTCTGTTCTTCCTGCCTTTGTACTAAATAACCATGCAAGGTTCTCCATACTGTACCGAGTATGCTACATTAGCAGCACCAATGAGCAGAATGACCCAAGAGAAAAAGATGTGCGTTGGATGCATCATCAGCACTGCTATTGGCTCATATCATCTGGGTTTATAACGAAAAGTAGAATAATCAGCAAGTTACTTACACCCAGGAGATTATCATTTCTGCTGTTTGACCTAGCGTGTCTTTTAGAAGGACTCCTCTTTGCTGAGTTTCTCAAAGTTGATATTAAATTTTTAATTAAAGTAGAGCTCAGTAAGAGCATCTTTACCACTTTGCAATCAGCTTTGAGTCTTAAGACATAATAACTGCAGTTCTAATATTAATCAGAATAATTATTCAGAAATTCATAAGAGTGTGTCATGGGGTAATTGTATGGATTAGGAAACTGAGAGCCTTTCTGCTCCTTCCTCAGTTTCAGGACTTGATGTAAGAAAATAATGACTATATTTAAGATGGCGGTACTGTCTAATTTTAGAGCATTGTCTTTGCAATTATATCCAGAGCTTGTGACACATTATTTGGATATTCTCGGTGACAGTAAGTTTTCCTCCTTTGAGGATAAATATAAGTTAGGGAAATGGCTTTAAATTTTGAAGGCATTGTTGGGGAATAAGGTAAAGGTCAACATGAGAAATTTTATTGCTAATCAAATGAGGAGTAATTTTAATAGTAATGCTGTTTCCCCATAGTAAATTTCCTTTAATACTGGAATGAATAAAGTAGTATAAAACAGATGTTTATAGATGACGTTAGCAGAACAAGGAACTCATTTCCTTGTGTATTGTGTCAATAGTGTCACATGTCCACATTATATTGAGGAGAACTTCGGTATTCGAATGCAAAAATACTCTTGAATATTTTGAGAATAGAGTGTTAGAGTATGGCACTAAGTTTTTAATCATGAGATGGTCACTGCAAACTGGGTAAGCAAAACACCTTAGTTCAAGCCAGCCATTACTTTATTTTAAAAATATATTTTATTGATTTTTTAGAGAGAGAGGAGGAAGATGGAGAGCAAGAGGGAGAAGGAGAGGGAGGGATAGAAAGAGGGGGAGAGAGAAAGAGAGAGAGAGAGAGAGAGAGAGAGAGAGAGAGAGAGAGAGAGAGAGAGAAAGAGACACTTATGTGATAGAGAAACCTTTATCAGTTGCCTCCTATACGCACCCCAACTGGGGTTTCAAACCTGAAACCTGGGTATGTGCCCTCACCAGGAATTGAACCAGCAATCTTTGGGTGCATGGGATGATACTCAACCAACTGAGCAACACTAGCTAAGGCAAGTCAGCATTTCTTAATTGTAAATCACAATAATATTCATATCATGGTTGGGGACAGGGACAGTGATTGTCCAAAGGTAAGATTGGACATGAGCAATTTTGACCAAATGGCAGTTATTTGTATGTGTAGAAAAGGCACATTAAGAAAGAAATATCTAGAAAAATAGAGGCTATTGACAAATAGAAAACTGAATATGTGCCAGGAAGAGATAAAGAATAAAGGAAGAGGGTTGAGAGAGACTAGGGATAGTCAGGAAAGAAAGGCCATTTTTATAAAATTATGTTAATTGGAGAATTAGCTGAATTGCCTGGGAAGAAAAGTGCCTTTTAAGTTAGGAGAATTGTGATAACTTCTGGAGTTTTGTACAGCGCAGGCCTGTTGTTGGGCCACAGCCAAATGTTTCCAGATGGCCCTGGTAATCAGGAGGCCCCCTGACAACTCACTCCAGAGTCTAAAACAAATGGAAAATGAAAGATATGGCTCCTTAGTAAGATTGCCTATGCACTCAAACAGTGGCGTCCGTTATCGAGCATTCTGCCGATCCTGTGGCTGCTATTCCGATCACAGAAGCTATTTTACTTAAGATGAGAGGAGGTCTCGTTAATAAATAACACTGCCTGTTATTACTGTACTATTTAGATGACATACAAATACTGAAGGAAATAAAATGAAATAGACCCAGAGAGAATTTTGTAGCAATTTCCCCCTTTTATATGCCATATGGAGCCATCAATTTCTGAACAAAATTAAGATTTAAGATATACATGTTAGCACACATACATCCATGTATAAAATAAGAAACTACAGAGGGGCTTTGCCTTACAAGTTTAATTCGTTCCAAGACCGAGCTCATTAAGGAGCTTGTTAACTCAAATTACTCTATCAACTCAATGCAAAAAATTGGTGGTGAGACAGCTGGTATCTCAAAAAATTCATTAGTCGGGCCACTCGTAAGTCAAGGCCCCACTGTACTACAAATTTTTCCTAGATGGGTTTTCACAATGGAAGAACTTTTTCATGTATATGAAAAATGAGTATAGTTATTTTCAACTTCTGTAATAGGGCAAAGACAAAAATATAAACATGAATAAAAGGCAGGAATTTCATCTTTGCTTTATGTTAAAGTATGAAATAAATGTAAAGAAATATATTCATTTGTTTTTTGAGATAAATGAGACTGTTCTACAGAAGATTGGTAATAAAAGATTTCAATTGATATATTATTATAAATATGTAACCTAGAAATCTTAGAAAATTGTGTTAGAACAATGGGGATGAGTTGAAGATTAGTAAAAATTTAAAGGAAAATATGAATATTTGATACTCAAATAGCCAATCTTGCTTTCCTTTTTTTAATATCATACAATAGTTGCTAAATATTACTGCCTATTATTTATTGTCTGAAAATTGATTACTAGAATCTGTATATTTTAGCAGTTTTTGTTTATTAAGCAAATCTATTTTTACATAATTCTTAATTACAAAGCAATTCTGTTTTTGTGAAAGAGATGAAATGAAATAATGTTGGTCCTGTCCTTTAAATAGGGTTAATTAATTTAAAAAGATGTTTTTGATATTATGCTCTGAGTAAATTTATTTACTCAAAGCCATGTGGGTGACTTGAAATGGTGCTCTTAAACACTGGATCGTTTAACATGAATCATTTCCATAGGGCCTTGCAGGGCATGAGTCTTGGAAAAAGTAAACCCTACTTCTCAAAGGGATATGTTTAGTTTTGTATTTTGAAATTTATTTTGACTATATTGTGGGGAATAGAATGGAAGGAGCATAATTGGATGAAGGGGGAAAGTTGGGTAGGTATTCCAAAAATCAATTAAAAGCATCAACTCTGAATCCAGGTTGCCGAGGATTGAGCACAGCATACTTACTAGCTGTGCGACTTTGGGTGAATCACTTAGTCTCCCTATGTATCAATTTTCCTATCAGTAATTTAGGAATAATCATAGTTGTTACCTCAGGGGTCATCATCAGAAATGTATAAGTTAATGTATCAGAGAACATGCCAGGCACAAGGCCAGCACAATGTAAGCGCATATGGTAGTAAACTAGGATTAGAATGGTTATGGAAAGAAGTGGACCACATTTCAGTACATTTAGGTATTAGAATGAGCAATGCTTAGTGGTTGTCTGACTATAAATAGTGAGGAAGGTAGTGTCATATGCCATTCACTGAAATATAGTCTTAAAGGATAAGGGATTGTGTGAGTCATGGGAACTTACAAATATATATATAT